TATTATGATGTAATCACATAAATTAAAATTCCAAAAATTTATGTAATTCCAATTAAGATACCAATTCTTAAAATATGTTTTGCCCATTCCTGTTTCCCATATATTACTTACCATACATCTTGTATTGCATGTGTGCAAAATGTTGGGGGAAAAAGAGCCATGTAGCTAGTTTAAAATCTGGAAGACAAACTGAATTGCAAAAAAAAAACAGTTTGATCAGATTTTATAAAGCAACAGCTGCTGCACAGACAACAGAGCGCGAGTGAGAGAGAGTGAGAGAGAGAGCGAGAGATAAGGGAGTACATGTATTTGCATTTGTCTCAGAGGCAAAAAGCTAAAATGACAAAATAATGGCTTTGTGGTTGTGTTTCTCATCTTAGCGTCTTTCTTCAAATCTGAGGAAATGGCCTGGCATTTGTCGCACTTAAGAGATGCAGATGAGACACAGATTCTGACTCACCTCTTTCCATTGCTGGTATATTTCACACTATTTCACGCTAGGCACACAAAAGCTAACGTCCCTACCAGTGTCAATAACAATGATTTAGCAAAGATTGAAGTACCATCACACAGCAAGATAAAAAATACAGAATCTTCTAATAAAACACAGTGTTGCATCTGGTTTAACAGGGGAAGAACCAGAGCCATTATGCATTGTGCATTTTGATAATTAAATTAAGTGAGGCTTGCAAATTATTTTGCCAGGCTGACATGCATACAAATTAGCTTGTCATATTGTTTTAGAAATACAACAAATATGAACCTTGTCAAACATGAAGAGAGCAATACAGGACAATATTTAAATTATGTATTGCACAGACAAAACAATAAAAAAAATCATGAAAAGATCATGCCTCATATTTAATTTTCAGTTTTGTATTAAAAACTGTATGCAAAGTAATTTAGGCTACTTCATATATGTACATGTATCCCTAACGGAGAAGCATGTATGTGTATGTGTGTGTGTGTGTGTGTGTGTGTGTGTGTGTGTGTGTGTGTGTGTGTGTGTGTGTGGTTTCCATGGTTACTCCCTCCTGAGAGTAGCTGTTCTTGCTAAGTTAAGGATGACAACACAGTGTATGTGTTTCCATGGTTACTCACTCCAGATTATTTAGGCTACTTCATATATGTACAGATACGTACATATCCCTAATATGTGTGTGTGTGTGTGTGTGTGTGTGTGTGTGTGGTTTCCATGGTTACTCCCTCCTGAGAGTAACTGTTCTTGCTAAGTTAAGGATGACAACACAGTGTATGTGTTTCCATGGTAACTCACTCCAGATTGTGGTTTGTCTTTGCATAGTTGCAAAGTGAAAGGGTCTTTCCATGTGCATTTTCATGCTTATGCATGTATGTTTGCATATTTGCAATCTCATGTGCTCCTATGTAACTGACGTTTTGCACAAGAGGTACACAAAATTTTAAGATGGTCATGAAATGGAGAATCAAAATGTCACCTCGATATGCACCTTAACGTGTCATCGTCGTATGTAATCAAGGAAGTGTGTTCTGAACAACTCATGCCACTTAGACGTTGTTCTGTCAGTGGATGTAAAGAAACTGCAACTCCAAAAACTTTGCATAGCCTTCCTAAAGATCTGAGCATTAGAAAGCATGGCAAGTGAAATATATAACACCAACAGGTCACTGAGTTGGTCAAAGGATCACCCCCCTCCTAAAAATGGAATGCAAACTAAATCAAGTGTAGCTGATCACCTTCACAGACTTTCAACTGTGCTCAGCTGTGGTCATTTTGATTAACTCAACATGAAAAGAGCTTTCCTGGAGCCTTTTTAATTCCTTGGTAGTGCAACTGAAGCAAACATTTAACTATGGATGGCAAGGCCTTGTCAAATATATCTCCGGGATAAAGTTGTGGACATGAACAAGTCAGGAGATACAAAAAAAATGCAAAGGCTTTATCAATGCCAATAAACAGAGTGAAGTCTATTATTAAGAAGTGGAAGGTATTTGGGACAACACAGACCCTCCCTGGATCAGGACGTCACTCCAAACTGGATGAAAGAGCCAGGAGGTCAGAGAGGCGACCAAGGCCTACAGCAGCTCTGAAGCAGCTGCAGGAATTTATGACAAAGAGTGGTCATTGTGTGCATGTGACAACAATATCACACATTCTCCACAAATGTGGCTTGTATGGGAGGGTTGCAAGAAAAAATCCATTCCTCAAGAAAGGCCACATGCAGTCACGACTGAGCCAAAACGCACCTTGAAGATTCTAAGGCAGATGAGACTAAGGGTGCTTTCACACTAGCACTTTAGGTGCGCACCCGGGTTCGACTGACGTCAGAGTTCGGTACATTTGGATGATATGAAAGTCTTCTCGGATGATGTCTTCTGTACCTGAGTCTGCTTAAAAGGGGTGGTCTGGGGTACGGTTCAAGTGAACTCCGGTACGGTTTGCTGCTGATATGAATGCAATCATACCAAATTGTGGAAGTGAGCGGCTATTAATGATTAATTATTTGATAAAATTGTGTGTTTGTGTTTCACCCATTTTCCTGACGAGCGTGACTGATGCTCTGCAAGCAGAGAGCATTTCTGTTTACCTTCAGTGTTCTTTAGAGCAGTGTTTCCCAACCGGGGTGCCGTCTGTCGAGAGCAGGGGCGCCGTGTAAAAAAATCATTTTTTTTATATTTTTAAATTACTAAAATGTTCAAAAAAGCATCTATTATATAATATCAATTTCTGATGTCGCCAATAATTAGAGATGCACCGAAATTTCGGCTGCCGAAAATTAGTTCACCGCTCAGGATTCACTTTCACGTGGTGTGACGCTCTGCGTATTATCCCGCTCTATGCGTGTGCGCGCCACGCATTCGCTCCACTAGTATACCGTTCATGCTCATCGGAACAGCAAAGTCCACTCAAAAATTGAGCCGACAGGAAACATCGATGTAGTACAGTATTGTTTCTGTCTGCAATAGCCGTATTGTGTTGTAACATGGTGTGGTATATGGGCAACTCTGGTAACACTGCCCTCTCATTCATTGATCTGCTAACTGTTATGCTCACGTGTCCTCTGATAATAATAGTTTTCTAGAACTAGGTATATGGGCAACTCTGGTAACGCTGCCCTCTCATTCATTGATCTGCTAACTGTTATGCTCACGTGTCCTCTGATAATAATAGTTTTCTAGAACTAAACATTATTTGGATAATTGGTAAAAAATAAGTAAATATCTTAACCCTACTGTTAGACCTACCTGAACAACTAAAAAGCAATTTATTTAATTCGAAGGCCTGTTGTTATTTTTTATTTGTGCTATCATTAGTAATTTCTTTATTTGTTCTTATTTTATTACTGACTGCTTACTTGTCATTTTTTATTCAATTCAAAGTTTGAAATCAAGCTATCTCGTGCTACTGCACCAAAATTACCCAACTGTAAAACAATAAAAACACTGAGTGAGCAAAAATTTGTGCTAGTTATAATACTAATTAAATAATGTTTACATATGTATAAAAGCCTACATTAAAATCTGTCATATAAATTGGTCTCTTCATTAGAAATTAGCCTACTGATTGCCACCATTGATGGACAATTTTTTTTAATAATATTAAAAATATCTGTATGACATTATATTTTGCAGTTCTTCCCTGTTGTACCGAATATCTATACTTTTCAAATTATCATATCGAAGATAGAAATTCAAATATTGTGACACAATGTATTTTGTAGGGTGCCACAAGTTTGTTAAAATTTCCAAAGGGTGCCGCGACTAAAAAACGGTTGGGAAACACTGCTTTAGAGCATTTACAGTTCATCCGTAAGACCATTATTTACTGAAGCTTTGGCGCAAAATCAATGGTACAAAAACATTAATACAAAAGTGAAAAGAGCAATGCTACGCATTTTGCCGACTTCTCCTCTGCCATTGTTACTAAGCAACAGGGTAAACGGCTGCTGGCTTGATGATGCAAATGAACCGCGGTTCGGACCCAGATAAAATAATTTGAACGCAGTCCAGCGGGGACAGGGACAGGGGGAGCAATCGAAATGGGGTCCAGACCAGGCAATCAAACCAAGTGTGAAAGCACCCTAAAATTGAATTAATTGGCCTCTACACCAAACCATATGTCCGGCAGAAATCCAATACAGCTCACCATCCAGCTAACACCATTCCTACAGTAAAGCATGGAAGTAATGGTAATATCCTGTGATGGGTGTTTCTCTGGAGTGGACTGGAGCACTTGTCAGGACAGAAGGAAAAATGGATGGGGCAAAATACTGTCAAATTCTTGAGGAGAATCTGCTGCCCTCTTTCAGAATGTTGTCAGTGGGAAGAAGGTTTACCTTCCAGACCTTGATTCTGATTGGTTCAACTACGTTCAAAGACATGTTTAATTACATGATAAACATACACCTTTGACCTCATTACATCAGTATTTCTGTGCCACTGCATCTGTGTGTTGCTGTGGCTCTCCTGTCAAAGAAACTCTTCTCATGTGGGAGAAACGGTGATGTATGCTTGTGTGTGTGGAAGACCACAGTTTTCGAAGTGCAGAGGGACTTTGTAAGAGGGACACTGTGACTTGGTCTTGAGTTACACTGTAATGACCCTTCTTATAGGCGAACTCACAATGGTTTAAACTATAAGAGTACTCAGCTGAGAGATAAGGTATTTAATGACTTAAAGTAACATATTAATGCATATATTTTACCTTTTATATGGTGCAATGAAGTTAGCCAATCACAACAGTGGGCATTTACTTACATTTCTGTAAGAGGTAACACCCCCTGAGAGTTTTTTGTTTGTTTGTTTGTTTTTTGGGGGGGGTTTCAAAGAGAGTGAAAATAAGGATGGAAAATTATGTTTTTTTTTTATTAATACTAGACCATTTTTGCTGCAAAAACTTTTGCAAACTTTATAAACTACCCTTGAGAAACATAATATACAAATCTGAAACTACGTTTCATGACCCCTTAAACAATTTGGAATTGCAGATGTGCAGGTGCATTGTTGTTCTCCTCACTCACTCTGTACCGTAGCAGTCCTGGTGCAGTTATAGAGGATGGCAAGCTCTCCGAACACCTTCCCTGGTCCCATGGTGCAGAGTTTCATGCCTTCCTTGGTCACCTCCACCTTGCCATCTGAAAGCAATCAGAAGATAAATCCTTAAGTCCATTGATGATGCTCTGTTCATGAAAGCAAGCATGACAGTCTGGAAATGCATCCGTGCCGGCTGCCTGGATCAGACCGAACCTGGCCTAATACATTCCAATAACAGTCTCATTTCATTAGGCCAGCAGACATGAGCAGAAGCTTCGAGGGGAGTGGGGGAGGTGAAATCACTGGGAAAGGCAGGAGCTCTCTAATGTAATGGGCACAGAGAGAAATAGGCCAGTGAAAAGATGGGAAAAAAAGGAGTAGAGGATTAGCAGAGTATTATGCCTAAACTATTAGATGAGATGCAGTGAAACCACACTGAGAGGGCCTGGGACTGTTATTTCAGGATTCATGCGTATTACATGACACATGTAACTACCTCTGTGTTAGCTCATGGGAAATTCAACAACAGTCTTAGCAGAAGAGCTCATCTGTCACCTCAAGCAGTCTTTGAATTAAACCAAAGCTTCCGGGGGCCCCTACTCGGAATAAGGTAGGTCTGAGAAAGTTCTTTCTGCTAACTGCTGGCAACAGCAAGGTAGCACGTAAAAGCAAAGATGTTTATGTACAGACTGACAGTGATGTCATGTTGTTCAGATAAAAAGCATACTTGGGGCACAGGCCTGCATACTGCATATATTATGTGTAATAATCACTGTGTGTGTGTGTGTGTGTGTGTACCTGGTATTTATCACGTTATGGGGACCATATGTCCCCACAATGATAGTAATACTAGTACATTTTGACCTTGTGGGGACATTTTTGAGGTCCCCATGAGGAAACAAGCTTATAAATCATACAGAATTAGTTTTTTTGAGAAAGTAAAAATGCACAAAGTTTCCTGTAAGGGGTAGGGTTGGTGTAGGGCAATAGCACATACAGTTTGTACAGTATAAAAACCATTATGCCTATGGAATGTCCCCATAAAACATGGAAACACAACGTGTGTGTGTGTGTGTGTGTGTGTGTGTGTGTGTGTGTGTGTGTGTATACACTGGTCAAACTTTAGAATAATTAAGATTTGTTCATATTTTTGCAAGAAGTCTCTTATTCTCACCAGGGCTACATTCATTTGAAATTGATCTTGTAATTGTTATTATTACAATTTAAAACAACTATTTTCTATTTTAATATATGTTAAAATTGAATGTATTATTGTGATGGCAAAGCTGAATTTTCAGCAGCTATTACTCCAGTATGGATTTAAAATACCAATAATAAGAAAAGAAAAAAAAAACAATTACCAAAAATAAAAAACAATAATAATAATTAATAATAATTGAGCACCAAATCAGCGTATTCATTGTCAAAAGCAGTGTCAATCAAATAGAGTGAAACATTGATGAACATTAATAGAAAAAAAATAAAAATTATTAATTATTAATATATATAGGAAATATTATGGTCAGATTTTTATATATATATATATATATATATATATATATATATATATATATATGTATCTATCTCTATATTTATGTGTTTAACTATAAT